AGAGCCATAAAATAAAATCTCCTGCGACTTAGCACTTCCTGTTAGTTAGCGTTTAAATTTGGGTTATAGGTATAATATGCCCCTCTACTATATCGTTTTATCAAACATGCCATTATATTATTTTTTACATCAAACATGCCCCTGTACTTTGGAAAAATTATCAAACATACCCTTTTGTTAAAATTTTCATCCGAAAAACCATTAACCAAGGTGGAACTTTGGTTTGGGAGACACAAATGTAAAAAATATCCTTAATAATTCCACTTCAGAATTTTTTTGGTTCTTTTTATAGCCAAATAATTCTAATAATTTCACTTCAACGAGACCCAGAAAAATAAAACAGGGGACAAAAAGTGATATTTCACCTCCCATTTGCCGATGTCGGGTTCTGTAGATCTTGGTTCAACCATGATTGACGATTTTTTCAATGGAAATTTTAACACAAGGGCATGTTTGATATTTTTTCCAAAGTATAGGAGCATGTTTGATGTAAAAAATAGTAGAGGGGCATTTTATACCTATAACCCTTTAAATTTCAATCCTGTTTATGTTACGTCAAATCCGCCTTATCAAGTCACTAAGGTGAGTCACTCACTTGCTAGATGGTAGCATTGCATATGGATGAATCATGCATTTCCCTGCGTATTGAGGAAATGAATAGGGATCCTTGGGTTTTAACTGCTGTCTATGCTTCCCCTCGGCCTAGTGAACAGCGTTTCCTGTGGGATAATCTTATTCGTCAGAGCAGATTGATTGATATCCCTTGGCTCATTTCCGGGGATTTCAATGCCATTCGCAGTCTGGAGGAGAAATCAGGACCGCCCACGACAGCCACTGTGAGGAGATGCCGCACCTTCAACGACAGGATTAACCAGGCTGAGCTTATCGATTTGGGCTTCTCTGGATCGAAGTTTACCTGGACCAGGGGAGATCAGCCTCATACTTTCAAAGCTAGCAGATTGGACAGAAGTCTTTGCAATCTGCACTGGAATGAGGCCTTCCCGGACACTTCGGTTCTTCACCTCCCCAGACTCCACTCTGATCATACTCCTCTCTTGACCTCCATCTCCTCTCCGAGTGGAAATGCAAGCAGTAATCGTCCCTTCAGGTTCGAGGCAGCGTGGTTAACGGATCCCAGTCTGAAAGAGCAAGTGGCGGCTAATTGGGATCCTAATAACCCCTTCCACAACTCTATTGCTAGTCTGGCTACTAAGCTGCAAGATTGGAACTTTAACGTGTTCGGAAGCATTCAGAAGAAGAAGAGGCGCTTGCTTGCTAGAATCAGAGGGGTAGACACCAGGTTGATGGATGCTTTTACACCTGGGCTTGCCAAACTTCGTTCAAAGCTTGAAAGGGATCTGGATACAATTCTTGAACAGGAGGAGATGATCTGGTTCCAGCGCTCCCGAGAGAAATGGGTGAAATTTGGGGAGCGTAATACTGCTTATTTCCACCAGCTTGTCAACATCAGAAGGCGAAAGAATAAAATCGAAGCGCTTCAAGATGCTAATGATAACTGGGTGACAGATCCTCAAACCTTGGCCTCGCTTGTTTTTTATTTTGTTTCTAACCTTTTCATGCAGGAGGATGTCCCCTATGATGACAGATTGCCCAAGCAGGCCTTTCCACATCTTAGCCAGTCGGAAACCATGCTCCTGCTCCGCCCCTTCACCATTCAGGATATCCACAAAGCCATTTTTGAGATGAAACCGCTTCAAGCCCCCGGACCGGACGGCTACCATGCAGTCTTCTATCAACAAATGTGGGACATTGTTGGGAGAAACCTAGCAGACTTGGCTTTATCTTTCTTTTCTACAGGTATTCTCCCGGATGCCATCACAGACTCTACCTTGGTGCTAATCCCGAAGGTCGACATTCCGGAGAAAGTCACCCATCTGCGGCCAATCTCTCTCAACAATGTCAGTCTCAAGGCTATCACCAAAGCTATGACTAGCAGATTGAAGCCCATCATGAAGAAGTTGGTGTCACCAAGGCAGAGCAGCTTCATTCCGGGCAGGTAGACGACAGACAACATCATCGTGACCCAGGAAGTGCTCCATACCCTGGAGAAGAAGAGAGGAAAGAAGGGAGGCTTGATCTTCAAGATTGATCTGGAGAAGGCCTATGACAGGCTGAGATGGGACTTTCTGAGAGATACTCTTAAGGAGGTGGGCCTCCCGAGTTCCTGGATTAACTGCATTATGACCTGTGTTGAGCAAAACAGGATGCGCGTCCTCTGGAATGGCGAGCTTTCCCAGCCAATCTCACCTTCTCGCGGTGTTCGCCAGGGAGACCCTCTTTCCCCTTACCTTTTTGTTCTTTGCATGGAACGATTATCTCACAGGATTGATGAGGCAGTTAATGGTGGCCAATGGAAAGCGATCAAGCTTTCTACTAATGGACCACCCCTTACACATCTTTTCTTTGCAGATGATCTTCTCCTTTTCGCAGAGGCTGAAACTAGGCAGATCCAGGTGGTGAAAAGATGCTTGGAGGACTTTTGCTCTAGCTCGGGCCAGAAGGTTAACTATGAGAAGTCGATTTTATATGTCTCTCCTAATATAAATCGACGCAGGGCTTCGAGACTGAGCCAGCACGCGGGAATACCTCTCAAGGCGGCTCTGGGGCGGTATCTTGGAATTCAAGCGATTCAGGAGCGGGTTTCTTGTGAGAGATACCAACCACTCATTCTCCGCATCCAGAAGAAGATGGCCCCGTGGAAGGCTAAGCGCCTGTCCTTCGCTGCGAGACTCACGTTAACCAAGTCGGTGGCTGCTTCCCTTCCTGTTTATAACATGCAAACCGAGATGATTCCCAGTAAAGTTTGCAAGAATATCGACAAGTTGAACAGAGACTTCATCTGGGGAGATGAGCCTGATAAGAGCAAGATGCACCTTGTGGCGTGGGATAAATTGACCACTCCAAAGTCCCAGGGCGGAGTCGGACTCAGACCCACGCGGCTGGCTAACCTTGCCATGCTAGCTAAAGGAGGCTGGCGCCTTTTGCAGGAGAAAGACAGCCTATGGACGCAGGTCATGCAGGCAAAATATGGAAGACAAAGACAAGGTCTTAGCATTCTCCGGCCAGTTCAGGGAAGTTCCTTTACCTGGGCCAGCTTCTCGAAAGCTGCACCCATCCTTAAAAAAGGGTGTGCTTGGAACATTAAGAATGGTAGAGGCACTAAATTTTGGCTTGATCCTTGGGTTTTGCAGGTCCCATTACGAGATGTGGCGCTTGGAACAATCCCTTTGGAGCAGGAGGAGGCTACTGTTGCTGAACTTACCCATGAAGATGGAAGCTGGCGAACGGAGCTCTTCAGCGACCTTCTGCCCTTAGATGTCTACCAGAAGATTTTGTGCATTGCGGTTGACAAGCTCTCGCAAGAGGAAGACCGGCTCTTTTGGTCGGACACTGCTGATGGTCGCTTCTCCACCAAATCTGCTTTCAACCTCCTCACGCAGCAGCAGCCTGACCCCGACGAGAAGTACTGGAAGATCATTTGGAGCCTCCCCGTTCCGGAACGTGTTCGAACCTTCCTGTGGCAGACTTTGTTGGGGAAGATCGCGACCAACGCCCTCCGGTACAGCAGGAAGATCGCAGCGGACCCCTTTTGTTTGCAGTGCTCGAGCCAGCCGGAGACAATTCTTCACATTCTCAGGGACTGCGCTCCGGCCCTCTTCTTTTGGTCCCGCCATGTTCCTCCCCAGCACCAGCAGGGATTTTTTAGTGCGACCTCCGGCGATTGGCTCCGCAGGAACCTCTTGGAGACGGGAATGAGGTCAGGGGACATCAGCTGGCCGGCTTTCTTTAGCATGGCGATTTGGTTTCTCTGGAAGAACAGGTGCACGGCCTCTCTCCAAGGAAGAGCTGCCGCCCTTACGGCTCCTTCTCTGGAGCACTCTATCATGACCAAGACGAAGCTTTGGCACGAAGCCTGGCATGCGCCTCCTCTCCTCCCGGACAACCGGCTGCGACCAGCGGAGCGCCAGTGGGCTAACATTAGTTGGTCTCCCCCTCCGACTGGGTGGGTCACGCTGAACGTTGACGGAGCGTCGAATGGTAACCCGGGTCCGGCAGGGGCTGGAGGAGTGATAAGAGACTCTACGGGAAAGTGGATGGGAGGCTTTGTTGCCAACATTGGTGAGACTACTGCTGCTCATGCAGAGATTTGGGGGATCAACCATGGCCTGAACCTTGCCTGGGACCTTGGATACAGAACCGTCAGAGTGGAGACCGATTCCCAGCTTGCCCTGAACCTCATTCAGAACAGAGAAGACCCTATTCACCCTTATGCTACTCTTCTTTCTAGTATTCGCAGGAAGTTAGGACAGGATTGGTTGGTCAGCATCACTCATGTGTACCGAGAAGGGAATAGAGTCGCGGACTGGCTCTCGAAGCACAGTCTCGTCTATCCCTACGGTGTTCATGAGCTTGCTAACCCACCACCCGGTCTAGTGAGTATTCTTAGAGATGATGCCCATGGCACTGCTCTGGTCCGCCGCATTGCGGTTCGTCCCCCTCCTCCCTCTTAATCCCCTGTAACCTTCTTCTTATTCTAGGCCTCGGCCTCCCAGCAATACAAAAAAAAAACATGTATTCCAAGACATCAATTCTAATCTTCTAACACCATTACACCAACACACCTAAGTGAAATTTAGTGACCCAAGTATGATTCATTGCAAAGTTTGGTGATTATACGCGTAATTTCCCCCCCCCCCCCCCCCCCCCCCCCCCCCCCTACCACCAGGCCGGACTGATCAGCTGGACAATGAACCTTCTCAAGTCAGGGCCCAACCCACTGCTCCCATCAGATAATCCCAAAATTACAAATTTACAAATCAACCAAACTGAGAACCCTAAAATAAGAGTCGCATCGCCACGGATAGCCAGTCGGACGGAGAACTGCCATCTTTCCTCTTGAGGAAAAAAACCCGAGAGTTTTCGAGAAATCTAGTTGGTTTCCTTGCCGTCTGTCGAATTGGACATTGGGTTTTCTGGCGATGATTCTCGGCGATGGCTCCGCCCAGAGGGAAAGCCATTACGAGATCCTCTCCGTAAAAGAAGGTGCGAGCTACGAAGAAATCCGAAGCGGCTACCGATCCGCAATCCTCAACTCCCACCCGGACAAAGCGCACAACACCTCGGATTCCTCCGCGGCCGCCGACGACAAGTTCCTCAGAGTCCAGAAAGCGTGGGAAGTCCTGAGCGACTCCCGGTCGCGAGTGGCGTACGACAACGAGCTCCGGGCGTCGAGACGGCAGCAGGACGCCAGCGTTTCGGGGGACATCGATTTGATGGATGTAGGGGTCGTGTTGGTTGAGGAAAGAGGAGGAGACGACGTGGTGGTGGAGCTTTGCTATGATTGCCGGTGTGGGGATTGCTTCTCGGTCGATTCTTCGGACTTGGAGAGGATGGGATACAAATTGTCGAGGGATCGGGACTATGTGTGGTTTGAGGACGACGAAGGTGCATCGAGGTCCGCGGCGTCAGTTGTTGTACCTTGCGGGTCTTGTTCGCTCAGAGTCCGGTTGTCGATTGAGACGGGACTCAGAGTTCCATTTGCAGGGATGCCAAATGTCTAGCTAAACAGGTTTGAGGCTGCGGCTGTGACGAAGTGGAGGAAGCAGAGATAGGGTTTGCTTGCTGCTATTTCTGTGAAGACGAAAGAATTCTGAGGCGGTTAGGCAATTCCTTTTCTGGAATTGATGGCAAGTCACCAAGCCAAGTAGTTGGTTATCTATGGATTGTAACAAAAATTTTATCAAACAAGCTTCAGCATTCCTTTTCTGGGCTCGGTGTTGACGTGAGACTGTACACTTCACTGTAGATATAAGGATAAATTAAAGGCGGTGGCTTATCAGATTCTTAGAGCGGGAGCGAGATGAGAATTGAGAGGGAAAGCAAGGAAATTTTGAAAATTGGGAACTACATAAAAAGACTAAACGAGCAATTGCAATTCCACAAAACGAAAAGAATCCCCAATCCTCTCTTCCCTTCCCACTTGCTGCTCAAACTACTTCTTCATCCTTCCTGTGGGTTTCTTGCTTTCAATCAATCAGAGCATTTCTATCCCGCGATGCCTCCCCGCAAGAAGACCTCCGTCAAGCGGCCTCGCGGCAAGAGACCCGTCAAGCAGGAAACCCATTACCAGATCCTCTCGGTGAAACCATCCGCGACCTACGAAGAAATCTCTGCCGCTTACCTATCTGCGACGTCGAACAACCCCACGGACTCCGCCTCCGTCGCCGCCGCAGATGACGAGAAGTCTCTCCGAGTCCAGAGAGCATTTCAAGTACTGAGCGACACCCAGTGGCGCGCAGAGTACGACAAGGAGCTCCGGGCGGCGAGGCGGCGGCGAAATGCCAGAGTGATTGAAGATGTCTGTCTCTTAGGCATGGTGCCTTTTGTGGTCGAGGAAAGAGGGGAAACCATAGAGCTTATTCACCAGTGTGACTGTGGGGATTATTTCTCTGTGGATTCTGTGGAACTGCAGAAGTTGGGGTACAAACTGTGCAAGGGTAGCGGCCATGTGTGGTTTCAGTCGCCGGAGGAGCCGGCGAAGGAGTACACCTCCTCCTCTTCCGATTACGACGACGACTGCGACCATTCTTTCAGATTCAAGTGCCTGGGGTCGGTTGTTGTACCTTGCGAGCACTGTAGTCTGGGAATTCGGTTGTCGATTGACACCGGACTCAAAGCTGAATATGGCAGTTGGTAGGTTGTTATAAGTAACCTGTGGGTCTAAGGTCTTGTGAGGTCTGGTTGTTGATTGGCGTGGGAATTAGGCTCCCATGTGTTAGAATATGAGTCGAGTACAATGCATTGTGTAACTTTCAATGTTCCATTTGTTCCAACAAAATTTCAACCAAGAAAGCTTTTTTTTAACTTGGAAAGTTTCTGTGACATGATTTCTTGAAAAAGGGTCGGCCAATGGTGTTTGGGGATATTGCAAATAGGGCTCCGTCTCTATCAGGGGAAGATTAAAGTTTTGAGTCTTTTCAAGCTTTTGAAGGTGGATTTCAAGTTCACAAAAAGTGGGGTGGTGGAAAGCTTTGTTCTTTGTTCTAGCTGATCCAAATCTGCCAAAATCATTTCTAAAAGGGGAAATGGGTTGTGAAGAAGGAAGGTCTGAGCAATCTTGTAGCGTGTTTGATAGGATCAAACATTCTCATCTGGCCTAGAAGCACTTATGACTGAGATCGACTGCTCGACTCAACTCTGTCGCTGCACAACTTGAATTGCAGTAACGGCTTTAATCAGCCGCCGATTGTTGCAGCTTCACAATATGATGCCTGGGTCGCGGATGAGGTTTATAGGTTGGTTGTGCAGCCTTTGCTTGCAGGGAAGATTGATAATGCTCTTCATTCGTTGACTATCTCTCACTCCAAGTGTCCTCATGAGAAGACATATGCTGTTGCCAAGCTTTAGTCCCTCATTTCTCTCCAAGCAACTTCATAAATTGCCTTGTTAGAGATTTGAAAACTTCTATCGATATGCTTAGGGCCTTTGGTACGTATGCAATCTCAATGATTGTTGCAGGTTGCCTGTCCACTACAATGTACATGTTTGTTATTCTTGGTGTTTGATGTTGTCCTAGAATCCTAGTTGTTTCATGTTTGGCTGATGGCATGTACTGATGTACGAATGGATTATGATTATGACAAGAATATGTTGTTTGACAGTGGAAACACGGATATCAGATTGTGAGTAGTTTTGGATTTTGAAATCCAAAGGATAGATGGCAATTGAATTCCATTTGGGAGGGAGGTGTTCTATTGTTATGGTCTTTCTATCTCATTATTTATGTGTTCTGGCAAGATTTTTATCTCAACAAACTGCACCTTAACCATCTATGAACCCAATGAGCCTTACACCTTTCAATCTAAATCTCTAATTATTGTATCTTCACATCCTGTAGGGTTCAAAGTGCTGCTGCTGGTAGGGATGTCAATCCAACCCGTAACCATGGGTACCCTACCCGATCGTAACCGGTCAACGAGGGTAATTACCCGCTTTGACGGGTTAAGGGGCGGGTACGGGTAATACCCGGTTTCAAAATAAAGGGTTAAGGGGCGGGTACGGGTATGGTAATCGATAATACCCGCCCCGCTTACCCCAAAGGGTCAATTTTCCTTGAGAAATTTAGTTTAGCTTGAGAAATTTAGTTTAGCTACCATTATTGATGATGATGTAGACGATTATTATGTTTGTGTGGATTGTAGAAGCAAGAACAATTATTATGTTTTTGTTGTTTTTATTTGTGTGGATTGTTGAAGCTACAACAATTAGAAGTATTGAGAATTTTTAATGGACAACAGTACGTATGTGCATATATGTGTATAAGTTCATAGTTTAGGATTCGTACCCATGGTTACCCGAATACCCGTGGTTACCCGGTGGGTAGGGTATGGTTATATAATTTTCATACCCGGTGGTTATTTGGTCGGGTATTTAAGAAGGCTCTACCCGGCGGGTTAGGAGTTGGTATAGGGTAAACCCGCACCCGACCCTACCCATTGCCATCCCTAGCTGCTGGTTCATATGTAGGCTTACTGCTTTAATAAACCCTTTCTATTTCTCCCACTTGGTGCTTCTGCTGTGAGAATTAACAGAGGATTTAAAATGTAACGGCATCAACAAATGTGGGATTTATGAGTCATCCATTTCTGTTCCGTTTCCACAACCTAAACTCTGTGTGCCTAAGGTTATCAGGCTAAAGTGCCTTAAAGTGAGACGTGAAGAATCAACATTTAGTGGAAGGTAGACCACCATATCTTCCGCAATTAAGCTTTTATTATCCATTTCCAAATTTGCAACTAGTGCTGGCAAATAAGAGCTTGGTAATTTTTCTTTAGATCAATCAAGGTGGAATCACACAAAGAGTTCAGCTTTTGATACCCGAAACTGAGAAGTTGAGTTTTCCCAGGAACATAAGCAATGTGAGAGGGAGGGGGAGGGGGGAAATATGGCTAATTATACAACTCTAATGACAGTGAATTACGAGGAAAAGGGTTAAAGGTTGGGGGAGACCACCTAGCTGTAGCAGCTACTTTATTGCTAAAGCTGAAGAGTAAAGTAACCACATCATGACTACAACATGCTAAAGTGATTTCATCTGGTGGAGTTAAAGCATCATGAATTCATGATCAAACATGAAGCTTCATTTCTCAACAGTGTTTCTTCCCCCTTTTGCACATTCATCAGAACCAGCACCTCCCAAGTCCCAATTATTTCTCCTGTTTCTTTTTCCATATTGATTGTTCAAAGGAGGTTCTCATCTTTCCATTAATGAACAAATACAAAAAGGAGGGTGCAGTGGAAGAAAAAGGAAAATCAGTTACATGCAATTTGATCTAGTGTCATATCTCCTTTCAGCCATAACCTGAAGGAAGCCTTCATCTTCAAAGTGAGGTCCTCATCTCAAGTGGGTAATTTCCGATTTGTGCCCTTAAAAACTGTATCTTTAACCTTAAGCCAACAACAAGAGAATTCTTAGCACTATCTTTGAGGTTAGCAGCTACCAGACCACCATCAAGCTGAGGTCAATTTGGACACCAACTCAAGATTGACACTTTACCCTTCCTCCACTTTCTATGGTGCTTGTTCTTCTTCCCTTTTTCTTCCGTTCTTCTTTATAGCCAAGTTAGGTATCAGTTTCCTCACCAAAGTTTTCAGCTTTTTCTGTCAAACTTCATTTCTCTCTCTAAACCCATAATGAGTGTGTTCTATCAGGAAGAGCTACCCCCACAAAACCCATCAAAGAAATGCAAGTTCCTCCTGGTTTCAACTCTCAAAGATGCCTTCTCCATCTCTCGATCTTGTGGCGGCCACATAAGCCCTCTCCAGCAGCAGGATGAGGATTATGTTCCCCACACAACAACTGAACGGGAAGATGATGAACATGAAGTAATTTCCACTTCTTCAAACTCTGCTTCAATGCTCCTGTAGATACATAGAACAATGTGCTGGAATTTGTTTATGATAATAATAATGATGTTGTTTCGGTTTCTTTAGGTTGTCGTGTCAGCAATCAGGAGCAGAGCCATGGAGAAGTCGAAGTCGAAACAGAAGGTGTTTGTTATCACACACATCTTTTCAGAGGAACTGTTCTTTAGCCCTGAGAAGCAGAGGAATGGAGGAGTTGAAAAGGAAGAGGAATTCTTCTCGGTTGAGAGCTGCCTTTCGTGTTGTTCGAGCAGGGGCGGAGAAGAGTTCTTGTCGGTGAAGACAAACATGTTGTCGAGGTGTTCGAGCTTTAGTCAGGTGGAATTCCCGAGTTTTCAGAGGCGGGTTTCTATTTTGCAGGAGCTCTGTCGTTGCGAGGGGTGGCCGTTTGGTCTCTGTAGGAAGGCTGTTTTGCTCCCACCCTTGCCTAAGTCTCCCTCTGAGTCCTGGCTATGGAGGAAAGGCACCAGATCAGCCAGGTTGCCGTAGAATCTTTGCAGCTTGCAACGAACATGAAAACCTGTTGAAGAGTTTGAGAATAAGATGGACTGCTACAAGAGGATGTAAAGTTTCTTGTTCTGTCATGTTGTGTCTATTCCCATGTATCAGATTCTAGATCGGAAATCAATAGTTCAGTCCTTAATCCATTGCACATTAAACCAGAGTTCAAACATATGCATCTATTTGAACATGGGTTCATTAAGAACATCAACATTCTACTTCTTTGAGATAGTTTTTTAAACGATCTGCCAAGGGAGGAGGGGAGAACCAAGATAGTTATGAGTCTCATGAGACAACTGAGGCAGGGAGCTTTGTTAGTATCCATCTCAACTCTCAGTCTCTCACCATCTCTCTCTGGTTTCTTGCACTTTCTATCATTTAATTTTCGATATATTTGAACAGAGATTATTATGTAGCAACTCTGACCGGAGTAAATTGATCGACCATGTGAAATCATTTTGGAATCCGTAAAAAGCTTATGTACAAGCTTGATTCCTCCCTAGAAAACTCATTAGGTGAGATGATAATTGATAAGTCGTGTTTAAATTGGAATCATGATGTTCAATGTTTTTGTAGCGTGTACCTCTAAAACTTGCAATACACTTCAGCCATGAAAGTAAGAGTCCAAGAAAAAGAGGTGGATTAGAAGGTTATTGCTGTAGAGGAAGTGGTAGATGTTAATGATGACTTTATATGTGAATCTTCTAATTGTAACTTATAATGTCCAATATCGCATAACCATCTAGCTTTAGTATATTAATGAATTCATGACTTCGCTGTGTGTTACAGTTCTTGTGGCCTTCACTTTCCATATATTGTGTGTTACAGTTCTTGTGGCCTTCACTTTCCATAATTAATATATGTTCTTGTTTATGTGTTTCTCGTCCTTGTAAAATTTTCCTTTTGTATTTCGTATTAGCTAATTTTGTTGTATTAGCATGCACTTTCCGTATACAATCATCTCGTATTTTCATTTATTTAATGTCAGCAATATTCTTTTGCTCAACTTTTATTGAAATAAATAATAAATTTAATAATTTCAAACGGTGTTAAAGAACAGTCAAACAAACTCAAGGCATAAATTAGGGGTGTACCAGGGACACCACTAAATTTTGAAAAAATGATAATCTAATCTCCTGTGGTAATTTACGCATGAATTTTTTTTAGTTGAAATTAGACAATATATTGTAAATCACTCTGGGTTCAGCTTATGGTTCATAGGACGGAATAACAATAGGGTAGCACATGCGGTGGCTAGAAAGACCCTTTCTTTGTACCCGTTTACTTGTCGTTCTTTCAATTTTCAAGTCTGGCTGTATTCCAGGATGTTAACTACCTTTGTTGAATCAATATATGATTATCTCTTTGAAAAAAAATAAAAAAAATAAGAGTCTGGGACACCTTGTAATTTGAAAAAAACAATTATCCTACTCGCTTTTATAGTTTGCGTATGAGAATATAAGTGGTAGTTTGGGTAATTCAAACCCCGGACACTACTATTATTCATAAATATAATTTACATTGGGCTACACCTTTTTTGTTGTTCTATTCTAAACACTTTGTAATAGCAAAACCCTATTCTCTATCTTTAATTAGTTTCAAAACCTAACAATTAATCTAATTACAAGCAACTGTTAATTTGTATTGATTTTATGGTTGTACGACAAGTGTTGAAAGTGTCTTTTTCAGTTTTGAGTTAAGTCAAGAACAAATTTAGAAATCGAATATGCGTCATTTCGTGAATGAGCAGTGTAGACACCAAGTGTGTTTTACTATTTTTTCAGAATATGAAAATACATCATAAATTATCTTTAACTCGTAAAAGTTGGGTATTTTTTTATTTAAAACGATTTAATTATGATTTAATTATTTTATTTTTTTTAAGAAAATAACACTCTTATATAAAATTTTTGTGTCCAGACACTGGGCTTATCTTCTGTTAAATGTCAATAACAAAGCATATTTTCACTCGCATAGGCCGCTGGGCTATTTCCTATTGACCTCATAGCAAAAGTTGTCAAATGAAACAATAAATTTCTTATTCCACAATACGTCACATGGCAAAGATAACAGTCTTTGGCTGCCGCAGCCCACCTTCCTCAATCCGCACCTGACACCTAATGCTAACAAGAGAAATTGAAAAGTTTGAAATGAAATGTGTATTTCCTTTTCGGGCCCGTCCATTTATATGGAACCACGACACCACACCAGCACGTTATCTCCAAACTAACCACAGAACTATCTCAGCCCCAAAAACAATGGCTCCCAATTCCACCCTACAAGAACTAGCGACGGAGTTCCCCAGCATGATTCGCGTCTACAAAGACGGCACCGTCGAGCGCCTGCGTGACACCGATTTCGCCCCTCCCTCTGCTGCCGGCGGCGTATCCTCCAAGGACGTCGTGTTCCTCCCGGAGCTCAACCTCTCCGCCCGCCTCTACCTCCCCTCCATCTCTGGCCACCGGAAACTGCCTCTCTTACTCTACTTCCACGGCGGTGGCTTCTGCATCGCCTCCCCCTTCTGCGGCAAGTACCACCGCTACGTGTCCCGCCTCGCCGCCGAAGCCCAAGCCGTCGTCGTTTCGTTCGACTACAGGAAAGCCCCCGAGCATCCAATCCCAGCCGCGTATGAGGACTCCTGGGCCGGGCTCCATTGGGCCGCTTCGCATCGGGCCGGAAACGGGCCCGAGCCTTGGCTAAACGACCACGCAGATTTCGGCCGTGTTTTCTTAGCCGGCGAGAGTGCCGGAGCAAATATCGTCCACAACTTGGCGATGGCAGCTGGAAATCCGGATTTCGGGCTTCAAATGAGGCTTCTCGGGGTTGCATTGGTGCATCCATACTTTTGGGGGTCTACGCCTATTGGGTCCGAGCCCATTTATCCACAACCGGATGCAAAGGCCGTGACGGAGAGGTTGTGGCCGTTTATTTGTCCGTCAAGCCCGGATAACGATGACCCACGAGTGAACCCGATGACTCCAGATGGGCCGAGCTTGGTGGGCTTGGGCTGCAAGAGGGTGCTGGTTTATGTGGCTGAGAAAGATTTGTTGAAGGACAGAGGGTGGCTGTATTATGAGGCAGTGGGGAGGAGTGGGTGGATGGGAGTTGTGGAGATTGGTGAGACTGAAGGTGAAGGCCATGGGTTCCACTTGTATGATTTGGAGAGTGAAAAGGCTGAGGCTTTGATCAAAAGGCTGGCGGCTTTCTTTAATAGAGAGATGCCTTCACTTCCTTGGTAATCAACCGAAGTTAGGCACAATGTAGAGAGTGGTTTCCTTTCTAAGTTGTGAAGCTTGCCATTTCTTCAAATCAATAAGAAAGTCCATGAAATTTGTTTATTTTAGTTAAATATAGAAAATGTGTCGCTGGTTAGTTAAAAGTAAAATTGAATAAGAAAGACACCTTTGCTTATGCTTGTGTTAGGTCGATGTCAATGATTTAGTTGGATATGGAAAGAAATATGTGAAGTTGTGTTTGATGTGAGATGTTACGGATTGAATGGTTTGGACTTTGAAGAGAAAGGTAAATAAGAGATTATGGCTAAGGTCGGTGTTGAATGTATTTACATTTTTTATAAGAATGATATAAGGTTGCTTTTTATAGTTAGGTGACACTTTAATAAAATCGAATCTGGAACTTACAAATTTAAAACATTGATAATATTACTGAACCAAATCCGTATTATTGCAGATACATTATTACTGTGTGCTTCTTTATGAGTGATGAGTTTGCAGCTTGTAATATGTTGATCTATTATTTTGAAGTTATGATAGACGTAATAGTTGAAAACAATATAGTGTGTATCCTATATTGGCAGGGATGCTACTGATAAAGTCTTTTGATGAAGTAATATAGAACCAACTAATTCATGAAAAAATACGTAACTTTTTCATTATTATGAAGTTATTGCTTTTTAGAGTAACAACCTTAAGGTGCGAGTCTTTATCTTGCTCAACCATTTGAGCGGATAGAAAGGGTGGGAGGAGCATGACACATTAGGATCAGGATCATTTGCTTAAGTCATATGATATCAAATGATTTAATTGAGTCATTTGGTATTAAATGACTCGTTTGCCGACAAAAAATGCATGATTCATTTGACTTATACGGAAGTCTCAAATAATTTTGTTGAGTCATTTCCAAATGACTCATTATTTAGCTCAATCTTCCCAATTATATCCTTGCCCTTTTTTCATAAACCCACTTTTTTCCTTGCATTTCCATTACTTATTTCCCCTTTCATTCTTTCATCTATCACTTTCTTTCGCCAAATTTCACAAGCGGCGAGGAGGATCATCCATCTTATCGTGCCCTTCATTTTCTCGTGACTCTAGCTCCTCGTTTCATCAAAGGTGTCGCCTTCAAGAATTTGTCGTAATTAGCCTGAATGTTAGACTTTTGGAGTCGTTACCTTTTGCTAAAAAAAATTAACATAAAATTTAAAATTTGAAAATATTATACATGATTATTAATCATATGTTTTTTTCGTTGCAAAATGATTTAGATACGTGGTTGGTTTTGTGAGAGTAGGAAACAAGATAATGAAAGATTAAATGTAAAGACAAAGTGGTAATATTATACAAATGATCTATTTAAGAATGACTCATCTAAAAATTGTTGAACAAACAATACCCTTGCAAATGCCTATATTCGCAAATATCTACATTTCTTAAATGTCTACATTTGAGCAAATGACTCATTTTATAAATGACTCATGCAAACAACCTTAGTTCTTTTAGTTATGAGCACAAAATATGTATTATGTAATATGGATCAGATTGGTGTAATCATTTGAGTCTCAAATGACTTAAATCATTTTCTTTATTTAATCGGGCGAATGGATGGAAACCAGTTGGCCGGTTCAAATAGTTTGAGCGGTTAACTGCTCGAATCATTATCTGAACGGCTAGTTCTTAGTAGACGGCTATAAAAATTAAGTGGAACCGGGTGCCAAGATTACTGATTGGACATATCAGCTCGTTTCGATTTTAATAACACTAAATGAAAGTATGAAACCATGTGAAAGTGGAAGGAGAGTGGGGTTTGAATGGAAAAGTGGGTGATTAAACTGAGATGGAATGTGAAGTCATGGCTTCCACTTGTATTGGGTAGTTTGTTTTGTGTATTTGAAAAATAAGATTTTGATGAAATTTGAATTTTAAAAAGTCATTTATATATGAGGGTATTGGTTCCTTGTGAACTTGAAAACACCATTATTTGTTTTATAGATTTCATGATAGATTATATTAATTAGATTAGTATGTATGAACTATGAAGCAAAATTTACTTTTATTATCCTCATTGGTATGAGAAGAGAAATAAAATAGGAGTGATAGATTGGTTCCAAATTATAGATTTCAAAGTTTATGATCAATTTCCACCTAAAAGAATGAGCTTTTCAATCAGGAGAGTCCATGGATTTGAATCCTTAAAGTTGGTGGGTCCCACAGATTTTTTTGTCCCTAAATGCATTAAGCAAACTATAGAATTTAAACAAAGTTCATCACAAAATCTATAAAGCAAACAATTTGACAATAAGAAGGCTAAGGCTTTGATCCAAAGGTTGGCAATGTGTTCTTCAGTTTAGATGCCTCCACTATGGTAATTAACCGCTATCTACAATGTAAAAACTCAAATAGTGTCCTTTCTAAGTTGTGAATCGTGATTGTATCTCCTCTAAAAAATTGTCAAGTTAAGTTATGAAAGAGACTAACCCGAGCTTCCTCTTCAATTTAGATGGTAAGAGAGCAATGACCCATGTTAAATTGATTGGGGGTTGACGGAGGTCCGAGAAACGGTTTTGGCTTCTTTAGAGTAACAGAAGATCCTGATAGTATCTCGAACAAAGCAATTTTTTTTTGTCATGCTTGATGTTGATACAAGCTGTTTATCTAGAGGAGAGCCCCCAACAAGTTAGCTCTTGGAGTTGCAATGCAAAAAATGGGATAGTTAGAAACGTTTTATACAAAGGACCATACTATGATCATATAGAACACGTTGGTAGAGATAGTCGTCAATTTTATTTTATTGACGAAGCCATCGAGGAGAAGAGATGAATCATCATTGGTACTCTAAATTTTACAAGGTATTATACTGATAATTTCTTTCATTACATGTAAATTCGTATTATGACTGAAGTGATATTACCTAAAACCGTAAATTGCAGCAATGGAATGGTTATTTGGATTAATGTCATGTAGTTGCTACGAAGGAGTAAGAAATAAGCAATTAGTGTGTTTGCTGTCAAGAAGGATACAAATCGTGATAATGGAGAGGTTGCATGACAATTGACTTATACATATTGAAGAGATAGAAAGTGCAAAGGTGTAAGTCATTTGTGTGTTTAGTGTAGCAGAGTGATTAGGAATGATTTGGTAGGATTTCACAGTGGTAGGGGTATTGACAAAAGTTGTTATCTGTTGGTGTTACTAGGTGTATGTTGCTTGCCTTTTTCTTTTGTTTGTATATGAGATTTCTACTGCATATTGCATGCTTCGTATTTCTTTTCTTTTTTTGTCATTTTAATTAACAAAACTATTTATCATAAAAAAACTAGCCTATACATTTCATCGACTTGATTTGGACATTGTTGGTTTTGGTTTTCTCAACCAAAGATTCATCACCTTTGGTGTCACTGCGGTTTTTGGTCTAAGGAAAATCCAGATTGGGTTTTCCTTATGAAATCTCTTGGTGGCTTCCATTTTCACCATCTGGAATTGGAGCCAGGTAAGCATTCCTTTCATGTTCATTCTAGAGGCAATTAGGGTGCTTGGAAATAGTATGGCTAGATTTAGGGCTACTGACGTCATTTGGATTGCCCATTATAGTGCTTATGTTTTAATGTTTCTTTTGTAATGCAATGGGATAATAAATTTTCATCAGATTATTATGGTCTTGTTGACCTACCTATGTACATCGTCGCAGGCATACTAATGGTTAATCTAGTCAGAATCAGAGTACCAATTTCTGAGACTACATCCGACTAAGGGACCGGGTAATAAACTAGTTTCTTTTGAATAATAAAAAAACATGTGCTTTCCTTTCCTCGTTTGTGAGAGATTAGATTTGATGGGTGTGCTAGTCAATTCAGACAAGTAGCATTATGCTAACCCTCTATGGAGTTAGCACCTCATGTCATTCCAACCATATCTCATAAATTAGTTACTCCTCCTTACTATTTCTGCAACGCCCTTTGCCGCTCTGAGCGGCAAAGTAGTAGGAAATAATTAAATGGGAATGGGTTGCGGATAATTCAACCTAAATGTTATGAGCCATTGGATAGTGTGTCGGTCACAAATGTAACCATATGTACTTTTAATCGTTTTGGATTTTGTTGGGTTTGGAATTATCAGCTCATTTGAGTTGGACCCAAATGTAACCATATTCATTATCTCACTAATTGTTTCAATTCGATTTACAACTTCAATGTCAGTATTTTCACATTACTAATTGCTCCAGACCAAAGTATTTTCACATTACTAATTGCTCAAGAACAAAGAAAAAGAAAAAAAATCATATTAGAATCCCGTATACATTTTCTTTTTGGGTATCCAATTTTATGAGTTTAATTTAGATCCAAATTAAAACTTTGAGACGAATCTCCCCTGGACGTGATACTACCTCAGTTTAATTTGACAAATAATAAATTGCAGACCTGGCACTCATGTCGGGTTGGATAATTTTGGGTTTGGGATCTTGAGTTACGTGTTGTCACGGGCCGTGTCATATTTGGGTTGGCTCATTTTCAGTCAAATATTAATCCAACCCAAAAATTTTGGTCGAATTTTGGGTATTTCACGTTACGAGTGTTCTAAAACAAGAATATACATGCTTCATATTTTTTTAAATAAACACAAATATTCATATATGTATGCCAACAGTTCTCCTACCATATTCAATTAACATATTCTCAAATTCTTACATGCTAATGAAAGCAAACACAAATTGCTCAAATCACCAAAAAGATAATGAGATTAGAAGAATTACGTGATATTTGATTATCCTTTCACTTCAAATTTGTGTTGCATAATTGTGTGAATTTTATTAAACATTTTACCAATTTATGAGTGATTTTATCATTTTGAGAGTGAGATATGATATGAAACAGGTTAAATAGGTCGACCCGCTAACCCACCCAACCCAACCAAAAATATTGTGGATTAATCGAGTTCGGGTAATTCGGGTTATAGAAACTTCAACTCAATTTTAATTTATCAAGCGAGTTCAGGTCTGGATAACAAATCGGGTCATAATTTGCTAGATCTAATAAATTGAGATTTGACAATATTTAAATTGTAATCCTTTTTTTCGAGGAAAATTTAGAACTAAGAAAATCCTTGCAGTGATTAGCACACATATCCTCTGAACAATAAACAATGTAGATCGTGCTTGTAAAATTTGATAACAAGAACACTTATTCAAACCACTATTTATATGGTGCCAAGACAGAGTGATGCCCATCCGGTAAGCTCTCCTAATTTGCTTCTTTTCCTTCTTCATTCTTCCCACGATTGGCATTTTCTTTGTATTTCTTCATTCTCTCAGTTGACATGTATACATTGCCTATCACTTCTTCTTTTATCAATACAAGCATCATTTCATCAAAAAACGAGAGAGCAATTGCAATCCATCACAAAAAAGTAACGCAAAGAATAATGGCTTGCTCCAGTTCCAACCAACGAAAAATGGTGACGGAAGTCCCAGGGAACAAGCGACTCTACGACGACGGCACGGTGGAGCGTCTCCGCGACACAGATTTCATCCCTCCCTCCATCAATAATGCCGGCCCCGACGGCGTTTCCACAAAGGACGTCGTGTTTCTCGAGGAACCCAACCTCTCCGCCCGCATCTACCTCCCTAATTATCAACCCTCCTCCGGCGGCCGGAAACTGCCTCTCATACTCTACTTCCACGGCGGCGGCTTCTGCGTCTCCTCCCCCTTCTGCGGTACGTACTCCCACTACGCGACCCGCATGGCCGCCGAAGCCCAAGCGATGGTCGTTTCGTTCGACTACAGAAAAGCCCCCGAGCACCCAATCCCGGCCGCCTACGAGGATTCCCGGGCCGGGCTTCGTTGGGCCGCTTCTCATTGGACCGGGAACGGGCCCGAGTCGTGGTTAAACGACCATGCAGATTTTGATCAGGTTTTCTTAGCCGGGGACAGCTCCGGGGGCAATATCGCCCACAACTTGGCAATGTCCGCCGGGGATCCGGAATTTGGGCTTGATCAGGTTGGGATTTCGGGGCTTGCTTTGGTGCAACCACACTTTTGGGGGTCCAACCCCATTGGATCTGAGCTCGACTTTCCACGGCCCGAAGCGTCGTGATGGACACGCTCTGGCCTTTCATTTGTCCTTCAAGCCCAGACAACGACGACCCAAGAATCAACCCGCTATCTCCGAGTGGGCCGGGCCTGGTGGGATTGGGTTGCAGGAGTGCTCTGGTGTGTGTTGCCGGAAGTGATTTGTTGAAAGACAGAGGGTGGAAATATTGTGAAGCACTAGGTCAGAGCGGATGGAAGGGAGTCGTCGAGGTGTTTGAGACTGAAGGAGAAGGCCACGGGTTCCACTTGTACAACCCTGAGAGTGAAAAAGCTGGTACTTTGATCAAAAGGCTGGCGGCTTTCTTTAATAAGGCGACGCCTCCACTTGTCAAAAACCCATATCCATAATATATAAGGGGGAAACACTCTCTTTGAAAATCGGCCGTGTTTGGAGTGTCTGTATTTTGGTGAATAAAGGATGCTATAAATCCTCTACTCTATAGCTAGTTTTTTTTTTTTCACGTTGTGTTTTTTTTTTTTGCGAGGAAAATCTGGTGTACATGTTGATTTATGAAATGTCCCCCCACCCCATAATAATTAGCATTTCATAAGCTGACTTGATCAAACTGATAAGTCTAAAAAAACTGAGATAAAATGTCTATAAACTTGACTACATCACAGTCAACAAACTTCAAATTGAACTACCCAGGGGTGGGCATTGGTTTGACCAAACCACACCAAACCGCTCCAAACCGCTCAAACGGTCAATCCAAACCGCACCGTTAACTATCGGTTTCATTTGCGGACTAACCATTTAGTTGTTCGTGGTTCGCGGTTTGGTTTGACCGAAACCACACGGTTACGGTTCAAAACCGCAAACCGGTAATTCTTACTGAACAGGGAAGGCGTCGAATCTCTCCATCCCCTAATCGCTTTCCATTGCCGCCACTACCACCTTCAATCGCCGAATCTCTCCATCCCTGTCCTCGATCACCTCCTTCAATCGATTCATCGCCGACTCCTTCTCCTTCATCGCATCTTTGCTCTCCTCCAAAAGCCTCTTGTAGTGTTCCAGAATCTCCTCCTTCTCCTTCAACCTAGATTTGCAATCACCCAACTCTTTACTCTGTTCTTCCACCGCCATCCCCAGCCTCTTTCCCTGACCTAACATCCAGATTCGCACCTCCGCCGGCCTCCGCATCCCGGGTCACACCGCCGTTCTGGTACTCTCTCCCTCCCTCTTCATATCCTTGAATCTTGGTCGGTCTCTTTTGGATTCAATCTCGAATCACTAATCCCGTCGGACCTCCACCAAGGCGGCGACCGACCCACTGATCCCTTTGCCCTCCGTGGGTTTTCAAGTAGGAATAGAGTTACATATTGGGTTGTTGTGTTGTATTTGCTTTGGTCTCCCATGTATCGCCTCTCTCTCGATCCGGCGAAACCCACAATGATGGAGGCTGCCATCGGGTGCGAGAAGAGAAAAAAAAGTTACAGTACTGCTCTGTTTTGGATGCTTGCTTTCCTGTCCTGCTTGATTTGTGCAATTATATGAACAGGGGATATGTGGGTTTTTCATTTCATTTTGTTTGTGGAGGGGAAAATGACGAGAGTGAGGGAGATAGTTGTTCGTCATTTGAAAATTTAATAGTCCTGTTGTTGTAGACTTGAATTAAGTTGCTAACAAACTGGTTATGTTAGCATTGGACACCTTCTTTTGCTGTGTGACTGAACTCTGTGTTTGAACATCTCGCTAACTTGTTGCTGGTCATTTTTGTTAAGCTCAATTCCAGCTGGCGCTGTAGTTAATCAAGGCAGGATGATTCTCTCCTTCGTTGTAGTTTTCCTGATCCTTTCCCCCCAAAGCTATTGGTATTGTGATCATGTTCCTGATGTTTATTGTATATTATGTTCCTGATGTCTTCTTTCATATGCTTGTAGGGCTGTAATGAATCTGTGATTTCGATATCAAGCAATAGGGAACCAAAAGATACTGTTATCGGAAAGATGAAATCAAAAGGCTCACAGGGAAAACGAGCTCAAGCACCGATACCCAGCAACAATGTGCTTAGTGTTAGTGAGGTGAGTTTCTTTACTATGGTTGACTTCTTAGTGTACTCGTCAATTTATTTGGGCGTGTGTTTCTGTATTGGGGTTTCAGAGTTGATTTCTGCATTTGGGTGTGTGTTTCTGTGGTTATAACTGTTTGAGTAAGGCACTCTGTTGAACTAGAATCCAGTCTTACAAAAATAAGTTGAGATAAAGAAAGATTGTAACCTGTATGGTATTGATTTCTCCATTTCCATCTTCCTGTTCTCATTTGCTCTGTTGCTGTTTTAGGCTGAGTGTGATGATATTGGAATGGATTCCTCGAGTGCGGAAGAGATGGAAGTCGAAATGGATGCAAGTACGAGCAAGGTGGCTGCTAGTGATCATATTGGTTCAGCTTCGACTCACATTAATTCACCAATGCCAAAAGGGAGGAGGCTTACATCAAAAGTTTGGGTCCAATTCAGAAGGTATAAGAAGGACGGTTTATTCAAGTCATCATGCATCAAATGCGGGAAGACTTATGCATCTAAATCACGTAACAATGGAACTAGTGCACTCCGCAATCATATGAGTAAACCGTGCGGTGACGGAAAAGGTACTGCTCAAATGGAAGTAGATGATGATTCCTCCTCTCAAACAGAAGTAGATGATAATGGTGGGAATGTGGATTTAGTTGCCGAGTATATGAAACAAATGCAAAAGGAAAGAGGTGTAGTGAACAATACCGAGTTGGATAGGTATTTGAAGGAGGGTGTTGAAAAATCAACGGATGCCAAGTTTAATGTGTTAGGATGGTGGAAAGTAAACAGCCATAGGTTTCCAACTTTATCTCGGATGGCAAGGGATGTATTGGCTGTCCCGGTTTCTACGGTTTCATCTGAAGCAGCTTTTAGCACTGGAGGTAGGGTGCTGAATGATTTCAGGAGCTCTCTGACTCCTAGGATTGTTGAGGCTCTTATTTGTACTCAGGATTGGCTCCGGGCAGAATCTAGTGTGTGTCTAGTTGAAGAAGATTCAGAGGAGATTGACAATATCGATGAAGGTGAGTAACCTAAAAAAAGCTATTGTTTATGTACCATGTACGTTTTATGTAGTGATTAAACTGTCTTCTTATGAATTTCAGAGTTGAGCATGATTATGAAGGCTATTGGTATATCTGATGTTCCACTTCCTCGTATCCATACTCCTCGTATGAGTCCTAATGTAGAGGCAAGCACAAACATATAAGGTAACATTTGAACATGATCATTAGTTGCTGTTGCTCTTCAGCAGCAGCTTGTTGACATCAGTAGGGGGCAGTGCCTTGTCAGTGCTGTGTCTACTTTGACTTTGGGCCTACTGAAATAAGCTTGGGCAATTTCAAAACTTATATCTGATGGGAACTGCCTAAGGCTTATAGCTGTAGATTCCAAAACTTACCATGTTTTTGCTGACCTGTGATTTAAGATTGGGCAATTTTAGGTGTTGGGTAATACCATTAAGCCTTTGACTGTGAGGATTCATCTGATGTAGAATGTAGTAGTGAAATTAGAATCCTTTACTATCTATTGTGTAGTTTAGGTGAGCATTATGGTTTAATGTTTTTCAATGGGTTCATGTGTAGGGGATCTAGCCAAGAAACAGAGTTCCGCAAGAAGAAAGCAGCAGATGCAAGGCATGGGGAAATCAGAGCATATGCTCTGTTTTGATGGCCGGAAACAGAGGAACCCTGCCTTTTTTTTTTGTTTGCTATTATTTCAAAACTACTTCTCTTGCGGCAAGAGGAAGATGGCAGGGTTAGTTAAGGCCCTTAAAACAAATGAGAACAGGAAGATGGCATGGTTTTTGATATTGGACTTTTGTATGGTATTGATTTCTCCATTTGCCATCTTCCTGTTCTCATTTGCCATACAAAAGTCCAATATAAAAAACCATGCCATCTTCCTGTTCTCATTTGCTCTGTTGCTGTTTTAGGCTGAGCGTGATGATATTGGATTTTTTTTTTTTTTGCATATGCTCTGTTTTCATGCATACAAGAGTCTTGCCTTCACAGCTCTATTTTGGACTTTTGGTGGCATCAGTACACAGAAACGGAGCGGGAATCCTTGCCATTTTTTATTTTTTTTATTTCCAAGCTTCCTTCTTTTCTTGTCATTTGCGGTCAAAATGCGGTGCGGTCTAAACCATACCAAACTGTTAATTCATGCGGTTTGGTTTGACCGCACCGATAACTTCGCGGTCAAAGATGCGGTGTGGTTTACATAAATGCGGTTCGGTGCGGTTTATAAAAATGCGGTCCGGTCCGGTCCGAACCGTACCGATGCCCACCCCTACCCAGGATAGGGGTACATTTCAATTCCTCTTTTAGTTTCACATAGCAACTAACTACAGTTCTTCTGTGAAACGACAAACAAAGCTGACCAAACCATGTTTTCCTGTAACCGTTTTAATTTTTTTTCTAACGAGGTAGAAAATTATTTCTGACTTTTTTTTTACCCTGCTAGTAATAATACTTTTTATGATAAATAATTAAAGACGGAAATGGGTTATCATAGGTACAAACTGACTATTTCTGACGATTATTTTGGCAGCTTCAGAAATATGATTTTTTCTAACAATTTAATTTCGACGTACGAGAGAGCTCGTCAAAACAATTTTTTTTTCCTGATGGAGACGTTTTAAACGTTAGAAATAGTAATTTGTTCTGACAACAAAAACAATTTTCGTCAGTAATATTGACCTATTGCGATGACCCAAAAAAATTTGTCAATTATATGCACTATTTCTAAAAACAAAATCGTCAGAAATAGTTAGACCTCGACATTTAATTCTCAAAAATTGGTCTTTACCGACAAGACATCTTACCATTTCTGACGACGTATTTTGTTTCTTAATAATAATGTTAACATTACTTATGAGAACAATTTTTCAACCAAAAAAACACTTTTTCCAATGCAAGTTTACTGTCGTCAAAAAGTTATCGTCAAAACTGTTTGCCTTTTTTTTTTTGTACCGAACACCCTTAATGCGCAAAAGACTCTACCATACTCCTCACCTTGCTTTGCTATATCACCGGGTTCCTTCAATAGTTGTTCTCATGTGCGAGGCCAACTCTGCACTAATGTCCCAAAGTACCAATGTAGTCAAAAGCGCGATTATACGTAGAAACGTTTTGGTAACTTAGAAGCGTAAAATTTAAATATTTACGCTTTAAAGTATAGATTTTGACTATATTTGTTAGTGAAAAGCGTAATTCTACGTAGAAGTGTTTTGGTGACCTAAAAATGTAAAAATGTAAGCTTTTTAAATTTTAAAGATTGATTTTGACTATAGTGCTTAAGAATTGCTTAAACATATTCAGAGCAGCCAAAAGATGGTCTTTGCTTCTCTCACTATTTTTTATATATAACACATGAATCATCAGTCATCTTTCCTCATGCCTTCAATTTATCAAGAGTAGTGATCATGTTCAATAAATTTAACCATACAATAATTCTATTTTTAGGCATTGTAAATTTGCCCCACAGAACCCTCCACCATACTACTACTTGGTCATTATAATAGCCTTTAAGACTCAAGTATTGATGCTTCAGAGAACTATCATGCCCATTTTCCACTTATAAAACTACGCAGTCATAATAGTTAGTTGTATAATGAAGAAATGTTAAAAAGAAAACTACATAAACAACCAATTTAAGTAAATATTGAAACTAACAGTTGATAAACTTAAAAGCTCTCTATTGGTTTAAATGTACTTCTTAGTAACTACAATGCAATCGAGTGTAGATGATTTTAAGGTGCTGAATGGGAAAAGTATAGATGACTAAAAAATGAAGACCCAATAGTTGAAGGTAGCATACAAAAACCAAAAATAGAAAAACATAAGCAAAAAGGCGAGAAATAGTCAAACAATGGAAAAACTTGTATAGGAATACCTTGCTAGCTCTAGGGACTCTCCGTCACAATAAACAACCCTCTAGAAATCCAAAACCTTGAGACATCAAACAAACCTCCCACGACACTTATGTATGGAAAACCCATTTTCCAACAGGTTTGTCCAATTTAAACTTCAAAACGAAATTCAAGCATTGGATTACTTCTAAAGAAATGAACTTTTCACCATTAAATCAAAATTCACAATCATTAATAGTTAATGCAAAGAATACATTTCTCAGACCAATTACAACATTTAACTAACCGATATAGTATAATGGATTAAATCTGTTTCCTACTAATGATATAAACGTATACCGGTACCATCGTTGTACCATTTCCTGCCATTTGAGATGAGTTACTTTATAATACAACTGCATTTTATAAACACCCATAAGGGCATTACGAAACCAAGTTTAATAAAAAATCTTCATATTCCACTTCGAAGGTTCCATTTCAAAAATAGGAGAGTTTAACATACCAAATCACTCATTTGACAAAATCTCAAACGACTATTAATCGATGTAATATAAAGGCAAGTAGCCCAAATTTTATACTTTATGGAATAATCCCAAATCATTATCAATTAATGTCTCAACTACCTTATGTATAGAATAGCTCTGGAGTTGTACTGTTTGCATGGTCTACCTTCAAACATAGCCGCATCACGAACCAAAGCAATTAAGCAAAAATCTTCATATTCCAAGTAGAACGACTCAATTCAACTTGGCCAACGCTTTATACATATCGGTTACCCCTGAACCTGTTGCACTTGTTGCCTTCAGATCTTCGTGAACACAATACAATTGAGGAGAGAAGGTTGTCAATGGAGTGGAGTGTGTTAATTATGTAAATCATCATACGGCTGAATAAATGAGGTCTTCTTGATTTGCTATAAGAACAGTAGGGGTAGCTGCAATCCATCGGTTGCTCCATCTACGCATTCTAGTTAGAATATGTGGCATAGGTTGTAGAGATTAGGGTTCAGTGATAACTTTGGAACAGGAGGAGAGTAGGTTCGTGGGGGAGGAGACCCGACGAGTAGAATGGGAAGCTTTAGCGAGGCTGCGATGGGTGCATGATTAGTGGGCCAAATTACAGTTTGGGTATTTTAAATCAAAAAATGTTTTTACTTTCGTACTCAACAGACCGGCCGCCCTGACGCCTTCTAAATTTCCCCTTCCAAAAATTACTTTGGGTGCATCAAATTTGAAAGGGATTCCTCATTCTCATTTGACCTTTATATTATGTGTAGATTGTGAAAGTGATGAGTGTACATGTAAACATGTCATTATCCTACAAATTCATTAACACGCCAAAATGTAGTGAAATGCCATCCTATTAGCTCAATCTCATATAATGATCGTTGGATTCAATCATGCCAGATTAGGAAGATATTTAAAATGTAGTGGTTAACCCGACTAAAACGTTACAAGAACCATTCCCATATAGTTTGCACAAAGATATGATTGCTTCATAGTAGTTCTAAAAACTAATACTAATTTAAGAAGTCGATATTGCTTCTACATATTTAATATTGCAATTCGATATGCAATATTTGAACCAGTATGTCCTTCCTATTTTCACTCTAGTTGCAGGAAATTTGAAATGTAGCAACAGTTTTCCCCTTCCTGCTATTATATATATATATATTGTGTAGATACACCATGTATGAATCTAATTTGATGGTTATAAAAGTCATTTATGTTAACAATATAAATTATAAAAAACTTACTTAAAATTATTAGTTTATCAATTTGTTAATAACTAATATAAATTAATAATTTTCACGGTCCCAACTATACTAATTTATAGAGGTTTTACTGTAATTGTCACCTCTATGTAGAACCCTAATTTTATTATGTTGTAGTTGATTGATTGTGAACCCTATGCCTAGATTTGCATGTTGATTATATATTGATTTGAGCATTATTCATGGAAACTGAAGGTTCTTGATAACTTCCCTCAATTTGGGGCTAATTAACCTAGGTGAGAAAATATCTCCTTAGGCTTAATTTAGAGCATTGCCAATTCAACAGTTGGGGTCTATGAACTAGTGTGATTAGATTTCTTGTGCCGTATAGGGTCATTACCCATTTGGGGGGAGTAGATTTGGTTGCCTCAATTGTCTAGGTCGGTTGTTTGGTATGCCTCTCCGGGTAGTGCAACTGAGTTGGAATGATAACTCAAATAGGAGTCCTATCTAGATTAGAGCCCCCAACGGTATATGCTAAATTTGAATCATGCTAGGGTGTAACAACTCGACAAAGACTAAGGGGAAATACATCCAAGTGAAATTTCCTCAATTGAATTCAATCTCAAT